AGTCTTCTCATTGAGAACTTATTTCCCAAGTAGTACAACAGGTTCTGATTTCTCATGTTGTTTTTTCCAAGTAACAAAAGTCTCATAGGATAAGACCTGTATTCTCTGCTGCATGTTGCAGAACAGAGGGGTGGCTGAGCCCTTGGAACTGTTAGCAGGGTGTTTGACTGGCAGCTTGTGCATACCAGTCATGCCAGCCCTCAGTGCCACTAGCCATGCATTGCTGTGCCTCACCCCCTAATGCAGAGAACAATCTCTTTGGTGCCATTTCTCTGTGGCCATAGAGCCACATTCTTCTGTGTGCCATAGATCCACATTTATGTGGGCGTTTGTGATTTGACAACACTGCCATTCATGTGCAGAAATATAATATTATACAAAAACAGCATAAGTGGTAAATTTATATTCAGTGATTTGGAGTTTTTTCTGTGAAACATGATTTTAAAGACTGGCAATGAGAGAAAGAAGATTAAGATTCAAAATATGCAGTAATATAGATCATTTTACATAGTCTTTGTTAGAGAAAGAGGTAGCTTTAAATCAGGAAGAGTTACGTATGGCATTTTCATGGGTAAGTGGGAAGGATCAGCATTTACACAGGCTTTTACCTGAAGTCAGTAGACTGCTGAATCAGTTTCTAAATAATTTGCTTGGACTGGAAAGATGGATAAAATTTCTGTCTTTCTAAAGTCTCTTGGAAAAAATTGTGCACTCCACTAGTCTGGCAAAGGAGGTTACGGTGACCAGGGTCCACATGTTTTAATTCTCTGAGGTCACTTCTGTATGCTCATCTCCTCTTTTTGGTCTGAAACTTCATTTCCCTTTCACAGCTGTGAATTCTCTTGTGGGCCCTGCGGATGGATTTGATAAATGCTGCTAATATCACCTCCTGATCTACCAGTGCTCTGACTTTGGTCTGTAGGTCTTGATGAGTAATTGCCGTTGTTCTACTCCAATGACTGAATTAAGTTGCCCTGTTTGAAGGGGTTCATACGTGTATGATTTTAGCCAAGGTGGCCCATTGCAGTGTACCCAATAGATGCTGACCTTTTACCAGTGCTTTAAATTGAAGCAAGCAGCACCTCAGTTTCTGCACCTGCCTAGACTCTCTTATAACCCTTTGATTACTATGAAGCTGCATAATGTAGGAATTTAGAATTTTGTGCATTGCTTTCTCCTCCACCCCAGCACATAAATGCATGTTACAGCACTGCCAAGGAAAAAGGAACAAAAACTGAGGCTCCCTTCAGTAGGTTTTACAGAATACACAGCACCCTAGAAAACCATCAGTTCTGATAATTCCCTTGGGAGGTGATGGGCACTGCAGCTGACACAGCCATCAGTCCTGAAAGCTTTTAATTCTCCTCAAAATAAATAGGAAATATCCTTTACTGCAAATGCAGTCATTCCTACACATGCTGCATGGCTGCATCCCAGCAGTGTGGGGTCACAGTGGCTCACAGGTATTAGCTAACTATTGATACACTACCTGGATGGATGGATGGATGGATGGATGGATGGATGGATGGATGGATGGATGGTATTTTCATTCAGGTACTCATCAAACATTCCTGTTGGGCTGGTCACTGGATATTGTAGAGCAAACATCTTGATGTAGCATCATCAACTTGGTGTTGGAGTAGATAAAACATAGACCCTGCATCATCTTCACTCTTATTTAGGTATAAATACATTGGTGAAACGGAGTTTGGAGAAAAAAACAGTCTTCTGAAAACTGCCTATGACATATAATTCTGGAATGATCTGCCAGTCACAGCATTTTAAAATCTCTGTGTGATTGCTCAAATTACCACAGCATGTCATGTAACACCTTAAAGATTTGGTTCTTAAAGATTATCTTATTGTGAGTAATTAAATAGAACAATATATTGATTTCTGGAGTTTGAACTTAATTTTTTTATTATTTTTAAGGCATTTAGAGTGACATTCATACTCATGTTTCCTGTTCCAACAATGACATTGTTCACAGTGCTGATTGGTGTACAGTACGGAAATGAGTGAGCAGCTTATGGTGAAATTGCCATGAAAGGAGTATGTTCCAGGTGGGGTTTTTTAAAGACAATGTTAGGTGCTTTAAAAGTAAAGGCATTACCCTGTGAAATTCTGACTGCTTCTCAGTGTCATCTTGCCCATGTTAATTTTCATTCATTTTCTGTCATGCCAGGTTGCTCCAGGCACCCATACCTGTAAAGCAAATGGAATTGACTGATGCCCACGTCAGGCCCTGTGCCTTCTCTTAACTAAAGTTGCTTTTAGGGCAAATGGCATTTGTAATTCATTGTGGCAAGGCTTAGTGAACCCCTTGCATTTGGATCAGAAATCTTGCATTTTGAGATTACAGGCTTAAATGAGAATGCAAGTGTGTTTCACACAAAAAAAATAATAGTTAAAATATGGTCTTCTACTGAAAAGAATAACTGCGGTTTTCTCAAAATGCACAGTTCAGGTTTTTGTCATCTCTTCCATTCCTCTTCTCCCTGCCTGCAGTGCTGCCAGGTAAACAGAGGAGTTGTAGGGGGGTTCCCACTGCTCAGCCCTGAGCACACCGATAACCTGTCCTTGCCCTTGCAAGAGCGAGCAGGTGTCTGTCTGCACACTCAGTGGACATGTTTGGGCAGAAGGTTACAGGTACTGTAACACAGTCACTTAATAACTAGGAAAAAATAATTTATAAAAGTGCATTATTATTTAATATATAGCAGGAAGTAAAAGCTTTTGCAAATAATCCTATAAAAATATTTGGCTGTTTTACATGGCAGGATGAATTCTTCATCATGAGCATTCCCTGAATCCTTCTAGGCACCTAGTTGGGCTTTGGCTTCAGGTTGAAGCTGTCCCTTTACCTGGGGAAACTTGAGAAACTGGCAGCACAGTACACAATGCTGTCTTGTTCCTGTTATCTGCCACCAGTGACAGCAGCTCATCTGCATAGCACAGACACTGGATACACAACTGCAGCAAACAAACACAGCAAAAACTTCTGTGGATGATAATGCACATCCAAATGCTTAGTCCTCTAAACCCCAGGCCTCACTGAGTTTGCAAATATCATCATAGCTAGAACAATCTAAATGTATAAAATTTTGAAAATGTGAATTGGTGTGGGAGGACAATGCATCTATTGAACTCCGCCAACCCTTGGGATGCCCATGAGTAATTTATACCATTGTGTTCTGTGGAGCATTGTTCTTTCATTCAGTCTTCACAGTTTAACACTTCAGAAACAGCCTTTCTCCTGACACCTTCCCTTCCCTACTCTGAGCTGTTTACTTGGAACAGTAGGAAACATGCATAGACATACATTTCAATTAATAGTTTTAACTGGGGATGGCAACTTGTTTTTCTATCCCAGATTCAGGTAGGGTGGCTGATACCTCTAAAGTGGAGACACATGGAGCAGAAAAGGAATGGTAATATTGTTTTCATAGCCAGTGTGTATGTATTGTAGCTACCAATCTGTTCTGCTTACTGAAATACATGATCAGAGCCTGGAAACATCCATTTATTCTTCAAGTGCGTGGAGATTGCTTCAGTTAGACCAGTGAGTGCTGGACCAGCCCAACACTTTTAGTATTGAGTATATTATTAGATACCTACTGTAAATTTCCACACAGATATTTAGAAATATTTATCTAAACATAATGAATTCTCAGGCTTTCAATCAGATGTTAAAACAAGCACAAATTGTAACAGTTATTGGCATTGCAGAATCTTTCCAGCATACTGTCACAGAGTTGGGTGTCAAATGAACTAAAGCAGGGAAAGCTGCCCATCACTGGCATCTTCATGTAAAGATACCTACATATGGCAGGAGAGCCTGGAGAGAGCTGGGTGAGCCGTGGAGAGGGAGCTAATCAGCAGTGCAGGTGGTTCAGGTAGCTGCTTTTCACACAGATAATTAATGTGTACAAGTAGCTGCTAATTGCACATTTCAGGAATGATTTATGAGGTGACAGAGGGGAAAGGGGGACACGATCTAATTTCTTTGGGAACCTCTGCCATTCATACAATGGTATCAGCACAGCTGTGAGATGGGACATGATTAATGAACGGTGGGCAAACACCGCCGTGGCGCGGGACAGTGCGGGACGCTCGTCAGAACAGCAAGTGGCCCTCAGAGCCAGGGCCAGCACCGTGGGCATGATGAGCTTCTGTCTTTGGCTTGCAGCTCCCTGGCACATCGGGCTGCACCCCGGCCGGGTTCTGGAGTGAGATCCTTTGTGTCCATCAGAACAGTTACGGGTTTAATGGGGACAGTTACCATTGAGTTGTGAGGGGGTTTGTGTTTATGAACAAGGACTGTGGATATTTAATCTCTCTGCAGAGGTCATGGGGAAAACAAATGTGACCGGGACTAATATTTATACAGGACATTAAATCTGTTAAACACCTGCTTCTGGTGCTCTGTCTTGGCTGCTGCCTGGGAGCACCCTTTACCTACTGTCACATATCCCTCTGTCTGCTGTCTGCCATGCACCATCCAGAGCAGGCATACAGGAACTCGGCTTTGCTTGGGAAGAGTGATGTGCACATTGTGATTGTTGTACCTGCTTATCTGCACTAAAGATAATACAGAGCAATATGGTGCATTTCACTGACATTCTCATGGGCTGGTTAGCATATCAGTTTGCTGCTCTTTTTAATGCTAGTCTAGTTTATCTCTGAAGAGACTGCTAACAAAATTTCAAGAAATGTGCCCTTGTGGTGTAAGTGCACTTACAGGGCAGTGCTGTGAAGAGGCGGTGTTACAACTTTCACTGAGGAAAATGCATGTTTTCAACACTTTTCTCAAGGCACTGTTTATGTATCAAAATAGTCCAGACAGTTTTGCACTGTGTTATAAAAACTATTCTATGAAGGCTATACCTCAAGCTGTGTGTGATCATAGTTTTCTTTTATTCCTTTTATATAATGTAGTATTTTTAAATTGCTGCAGTTCAACATTAAAGAGTGAAAGCATTTATTTCTATCTTTTATAGCTTTTAGAATTTGACAGAGAGCTGTCAGTCTTTAAAGACAGATTGTATGAACTGGACATCTCATTTCCTCCCAGGTAAGATTCATATATAATCCATTTATTTAACTAGCTACAACATAATTATTACTTGCACTGTTGGTAAAATGTGAATGTTCCCATATTTATTGCAGAAATTATAATGATCTCTGTTCCTTCCATGGTTGTTTATTCTCCCCACATCCCCTCATCACTAATAAACCACATGCCAGTAGTGCTCCGTAGCTCATCATTTGGGTTCCGCTGATCCTGTCTTTTATAGCTGCTCTTAAAACAGACCTGGCAGGAATGTGTGCTCAGAGATGTGGAACGACTTCTAAGCACTGGGCCCAGACCACCTGTTAAATCACATTATTGCAACCATAAAGACAGTCTTTGCCTGAAGCTGTTTGATGTCTGCCAGCAGTGGTGGGCAGGAGTGTGGTCAGCTGGGGGTGTAGAGCCTACTGCCATCACTCAGGGAAATCCAGGAGCAGTATCAGGAAGGAGGGCAGGAACTTAGATTCTGCTTTTTCAGTTTCAGTAAACATCATATACCTGCTTAAGACTGTTAGAATAAATTGGCTGGCTTAATACACATGCATGATTTTAGTCAGCAGTATCCCTGAGGTGTTTTAGCCATGAATGGACAGCTATTGCTATCATACAAAACCAAGCATTTTGCAAATGGCAGTTCTATTCAGGAGAAATCTGTGGAAGATTTGGTGCTGTTTTATACATGTATGGTCCCTTTCCAAGAGTGAGTAAGTCAAATCTCACAGTTGATTTCAAGGGAAAGAAATACTGCATTCACAAAGAAAAAGTTTAAAAAAATAGTAGAAAAAAAGGCAGACAAAACTATGCTTTTTATATACTTTTTTTGTTAATAGATTTAATATGTTTAAATACTCTATTTTATGCCTCATGGACAGATAGAAAAGTATGATGTTTTGGCATACACCAAGAAAAAATTTGGGAAGCTTGCCTTTTGTGATCATAATCTCATTACTTCTTACCAGCCAGCTGCGATACTGATTTGTATTGATCCCCTGGGACACTGGAAGTAGGCCCGGAGTTACCACCACTCTAAATTGTCCTTATTGATTGAGTATGATAACAGTAGACCAGCAGGGTGTGTACCTCCCTAAGTGTGTCTCATTCCTCTTGTATCTGGTCAGGGTAGATGAAGGTGAGGGGAAGTGGTACAAATTTTGTACTATACATACTCTTCTACTTCATTTCTCCAGCATTAGTGCTTCCAGCCAGAGCAAGGCCTACCAAAAATACATTGTTCCATTAATAGTTTTCAGCTTCTTCAGACTCTGTAAGAGCTTTTCGGTGTCATGCTCCCCTCAAGCAGAGATCAGAAATTACGTTTGAGTAGTCTCTGTGTGTTTTAGTTCTACTCACTCTGTTTCCTTCTCAACAACTAGGTAATAGTAATAATAATAAATGGTCAAAAAATATATATATACTGAGAGATGGCTTGTATATATAAAGAGCAAACTGGCTTTATATTAGGATGCTTTTTTCACCCATCTCTTCTTGTTTTCTGTGTCATAAGGCAAGGACATACTATTGCCCATCCTGTGGTCTTTGCGTGGTCACAGGCTCAGTAATGTATTTTTAACAGAAATATATTACTATTTTTAGTCATATATAATTTTTGGTATGTATAAATAATTGCTTATAAAATACTTCTATGAGATTTATAGTTACAAATTGAATTTGTATCTGTAAATGGAATGGTGTTAAGGCAGCACAGCAAATTAATGTTTCTGCACATACAAAGGAGTTTCCTCTGGGTCTTGACAGACTCTATTACTGCACATTAGCTTTGGGACTTTTTAGTTAACTTTGATTGTGGGAAGGATTGGAGAGCCACTTTGAGCTCTCCTGCAAACACATCTAAACCTAGCATTTCTGCAGGCATACTTAGGGAACTCAAAACTAATTCATTGCTCTTCCCCAGTGCTATAGTGTAATTTGACACCAAATGTCTGCTTGATCTGCTGTGAATTCTTCCTGCCCTGGGTGACCATCATGATGAAGTGCAGAGGGAGGGGTTCTCAGGTAGTCATCCCTTAGAACCATCTAGAACAAAGCCTTGACTGAGCTCCTCCAACCCACACTGTTCCTTCATTCTGTGATTTTATAGCACTGACAGCATCTGCAGGCTTGTCAGTTATCTCCTCTCTGTTCAGCAGCCCTAAAGCATTTTCCAGAATCACCTTCAATTCCGAGTTCCTTTCAGTTCCTTAATGTATGTTCCTAAGCCATATCAGCTCACCACCCTGTAAGCCTGTGCCCAGAGGAGCATGCCAGGGATGCAGTGAATGAATTCCAGGGGAAAGAGGCTCATCCCACCTGTTCTGGATGCAGATCTGCCGATGCTGTGTCCACAGGGCCTCCCAGCACATTCTGTCCAGGGTCCTTGGAGCCTGTAGGACAGTGGCAGGAGGACATCCAGGGCCAGGCATTCCTCTGGCCCTGTTCAGAGCCCACCCTTCCCTTGCAAGCCCTTCCTCTGTCCTGCTGAGATGTGCCAAAGGTGAAGGCAGCCTGGGAGGGCAGCCACAGTTTAACAAGAGACCATGGGCTGTGTGGCAAGTCTGCTATGTTAGACAACCTGTAAAAAATCATTCCAACAGAGTATTCCTCAGACATTATTCACCCACTCGTATATTTTGCGATCTTTTATTTTATATTGTGAACATTCATGTTTTCACCTTGTTACCCTCTGTGATCTAGTGTAGCCTATAGCAACCCAAGCCACTGGAGACTAAATAAAAGTTAGAATTTTAAACTCTGTAAGCTCTGTCACTCACAGGCTGAAGAGTCTGGCCATGAGCAAACAGCCCAGTGTGAGGCTGCAAAGGGCTTCATGGTAGTCAACAATCACTGCAAAAGGCAGGTGTGGAAAAAAGAAGTAAAAACATTGTGGTGTGTCAATATACAGGTGGGCAATTGTTACCTTTATCACTGCTCTCCATTAATTATTATAATTATTCTTGTAGCTGTTGTATAACAAAGATAGGAGCTGACTTTAGCAAGAGTTCACACCCACATACAAGGTTTGCTCTCAGATAAGGCTGCATGCACAGCAATCTCATGTATTAATCATTCTCTTAAAGTGACCTATTCTTGTTTGTTGTTGAATTAGGCTGTCATGTAATTTACTGGTTGGACATATGTTTGTGTCTTAGATACCCTCAGTGTGATATTTGTCTCAAGCAGACCCTCTGCTCTGGCAGTGTCTTGGCTTTTGATGCCTCTGAGCAGGAGACGGGTTGAATCTCATTTACTCTCGGCAGAGTGTTCCTCCTTTGGAATTCTTTCTAACACTGGTTCATTGTTCTGCAAAAATCTTATTTAGTCCATAAAATATTTTTTCTCCACCTTGTATTTTGTCCCATGACCCTTCTGTGTTCTAGGAGGTTGCACAACGACACATGTATTTTTGTGATCTGATTTACACTGAGCCAGCCTGCTCTGCATGAAGCAATGCCCAGAGTGCTCCCTTGTTCCTTCCCTTCTGCAGAGACTATTCAGAGCAGAACCTCTGGGTGCCATTGCACAGAGCCCCACTGTCACCCTTGGGTGTGAAATGGAAGGACAAGATGATGGTTTAGGTGTCAGCAGGCTGCTCTTCCTTTCCAGTGTTCTCACTGCCTCTGCATGTTCTCGGATCACACAGACTGCCTGCTGACAGGGCAGGGCAGCACTCCTGAAGCAAATGGGATTCTCATTTCCTAGAACATCTCCTCAGTAATGCTGCTGGGTCCTGTTATCTCACAAAAGAGGAGTTAGGCACTCAGATGAAAAAGCCCTGGGTTATTCTTATGCTTGCATTATTAGTTACTTTTATAGCACTTATTTTTTCAACTAAGAAGTATTTTCTACTGAACAGAAATACTTCAGACTTACTCGTGCATTGCAAAACTCCTTCCAGGTATTAATGAGGTATCTGAAATCATCCATGGATCTCTCAGCCCCCAAGGAACAAATTCCCACCTGACATGATGCACTTGTCTGGGTGCTTCCAGCATCTAAGGCTGAAGCACAGAAACATTTTTCCAGCTGGAAATAGAGACAGCTGTCATTTCCTCCAAAACAATTTGAATTTAATTATTACAATGATTTTTCAGACAGATCTTGCCTTCATGTTTCCACTCACATTAAACCAGTGCCACTCTCACCAATTCTCAATTTTCAAATTGAAATAAGGTGTTTCTTTATTCTGTGAGGAACCAGACAGCATTACCCAAGGTCTGGTTTAAGGAGTTGTGGCAAAGGGGAAAAGAAAGGACCACCAGAAAGTAAAAAACTTTCAAAGAATTATTACACCATGTGTAAGGTAAGGACTACAGACCACGCAGCAAGCAGAAAATAAAGCATATTCTAAAGAGCTTATGGTCCTTGCTGCCAGCCAGGCTGTCCCATCTGAATGTACTGCTGAAAAGCCCAATAGTTTGGAGCCTGAATCCTGACCCATTTATTCTCTCTGGTTCCCAGTTATTTTTTTCAATATGAGACTTTGTAAAATTTAGCCCCAAAGTAAGGTAATTTTAAAAAGTACAGGTAGACATATTCCCAGAAAAGACATCGAGCTCAATCACAGTCATAGATAGTAACATCAGGCTGTTCTGGTGCAACAAGTCAGCACTGGGTGCTTCCCAACAAGCCAACATTATTAATAATTCCATTTATCCACTTGTAATAGTAGCAGTATTGCATACATTGCGTGGGGTACAGCATTACTCTTATTAAAGCAATAGAGTGCATCACTCAGTGTTCACTTGCTGAGGCACTGGTAGTGCTGAATAACCCATTTTAGTATTGCCAAATAATCCATTTTTGCCAGCTGGGCCTCCCCACGCTCTGGGGACAGAGCAGAGCACACTGTGCCCATTCCCATCAGCTGTGTGCCAGCCTCTGGTCCTGGGCAGGTCCTGGCGCTGGAGCCAGCGCCAGTGTGTGTCCTCCTGTCACCAGGGTTTGGCCACAGGGTGGTTTTCAGCAGCACTGTGGACACCATTGTGGGTGAATGTTCTTCACAG